GGCCAGTTCAGCCCACCAGGGGGTGGGGCTGGCTGGCATGTGGTGCTGGGGGATTGAACCGTGGTCCCTGTGCTTTGCCAAGCTTGTTCCAAGTAGGTGCTTTAGACCAGTGAGCCATCTCGCCAGCCCCCACATTAACTTTTCTGCATCTGTATCAGGAATTTCAAACCCAAATTCATCATCCATGGCCATGATAATCTCTACTTGGTCCAAACTGTCTTTCATAAAATGAAAATTTACTGAGAGCTTTTCGGGGTCAATCTTGTCATACAATTTCAAGACATAGAGAACCCGATCCTTGATTCCTTCCAGCGTCAGAGGGGGCGTGTCGCTGTACTGGCGGCACCTGTGCAAGCAAGGAGGCCGCCTGTGCCACCCTGGGCCTCGTCGGGGTCCCCGCGGGACACAACGCAGTGCTGAGTGTCCGGGCCAGGGCCAGCGTGGGAACCCGGGGCAGCGGCGGACACAGGAGCAAAGGACACGGGCCACCATGACTGCGCCGACCCAGTGTATGCCATCTTAAGTAATATTTTAAAACTTTGTTTCCTGGATCTGGGGAGATGGCTCAGTGGAATAAGCGCTTCCCTGGCAAGCGCAAAGGCCTGAGTTCAATCCCCGGTTCCGCAAAAAACAAAACAAAAAACCAACTTTGTTTCCTGTTTTAAGATTTTCCTCTGGAGTTTACCCTCAAAATTACCACCTTTTGTTCAGTAGGTTGCATTTGTTTATGTATTCCTCACAACAGTCGTGTATGGGCAGTCTCATTATTCCCATTTAAGAGGTGAAGAACCCAATACTTAAAGGGTCATTTGTCCAAGGTCATGCAGCAAGCTAGGTGTTAGCCAAGAGTTGATCTTGTCGGACATCAAGGACTTCTGTTTTCCCTGATGGAAGCCCTTATCTGATGCCTCTCTATCATACAGGTAATCAAAATATTTTGGTTGGGCAATTGAAATTAAAATATCAATCTGTTTTCTTCCCTTACTTGTTGCTGCTTGAGTTCTCTAGAGAATTTTTTGTGCCAGTTTGTTCCTCCTTTCCTGGTCAGGTTTTCAACTGTGCTCTTTATAGTTGTCAATTCCATTTCACCCCAGTTACTCAGTTCAGAATGAAGACAAGTGATCTATCAAGCACCTACTGTATGTGGGTTACTGAAGTAGACTTAGGTGATGCAGAGTTATATAAAAGATTTCTAGGCTAGAAGGGGAGTAGGGAGTCACAGCATGTCACATGGTTTTATGAGAGTCTAGAAGCAGGCAGAGAACGTGGTAGGGAACCTGAAATCCAAACCTTTGCTTGGTAGATTTCCATTTTCAGTCTGCTTTGGATCTGTGAGTCAGATCTGCTCCCTTCCTAGGCCTTCTGTCCAGGCTCTGGGTCTCTGCTGCTGTTAGGAGTTGAGGAGCGTTGCTGCCCTCCATTGTTGTGGTTTAGAGCTGAAGTTGGGTACATGGTTCTATCCAGTCATCCCTTAGTATCCTAGGGGCATTGGGTTTAGGGACAAGGTCTTTGGTGTCCCTTTCCCCAAAGTCTGAGAATGTTCAAGTTACTGAGTGTTTGCATGAAGCCTTACGTACATCTTCCTGTACACTGTCCTTGTTTTAAAAATTCAAGACAGGTTTTCACCAAGTTGCTCAGGCTGTCCCCCACCCCCACGTACCTGGGATTGCCACATGCCACTGTGCCTGGCTACTTTAAATCATTTTCAAATTACTTATGATGCCTAATATAGTGTAAATGCTATGCTAGTATTGTTATACTTTATTGTTTAGGGACCAATGACAAAAGAGTCTGTGATGTTCAATATAGAGAGCCCTTTTATTATTTTCCCCTCTGAATCTTTGCAATCTTCTCTTGGTTCCTTGAGCTCGGGAGTTCCCAGATTCCGTGGGTTGGCTGTGTCCTTGGGAACCTTGGGCTACTCATCGGGGCACACTTCCTTGAGGGGTGGGGCAGAGGCCAGAAGCAGACCCCTCTTCATAGACAAGGGCTTTGGTGTCTAGAGCAGGAGGAGGCTCGCCTTCTGTGTTTCTGTGCAGTGGTGTAGCCAGAGTTCCTGTGGCCCTGGTGATCCCTCAGTGCAGAGGTGGAGTCCCCTCAGTGCAGCTTGTGTGAAAAATGTCACGCGGTAGAGCTATTACTAAGCGCAGATGCACGCTGGAAAGCTAACTTAGCAGCAAATCCAGTTCAAAACCCCCATAAATTAGTATCATTATCACTTTTCCTTTGACTAGTAGTGCTGCCCCAAATCCGTGCCACCCGGTGCAAGACCTGCTCCCTCCCTGTTTTGGTGTCTCCCCATGGTTTGGCACTCCTAGCCTCCTGGAAATGTGGATGCTGTGAGAGAAGGCACACCAAGGGTTAAAACTTTATTTTACTTGGTAGATTCATTAAGGGAATTATTTCCACTGTGTCAATGTGCCAGATCTGTTAAAATGTGTGGGCGCTACAAGGGGCCAAATTGGTGGCCTGTCCGTATTTTCTAAAACTGATTCTTTTTGGTGGATAGTTGAATATATTTACTTTGTTGATACAGGCAAGAAGCAGCAAGGCATCTACACGTGGCAGGTGGCAGGTTGCTGTGGAGAAGCTGCTAGTGGCCTTTGTGTCACTGCGATGAAGGGTGTGGCCTATAATAAATGCAGATGTTTCTTTTGAACCAATGCGTCTTCCATATGGATAGAAAGTGTGGTGATGTGTCACTTAAGAGTGTAACTCCCATCTGGAGATGACCTTTACACAAAGGATGTGAAAGATGGAGGGTTTTTGTTTTTGTTTTTGTTTTTCCTTCGGAACTGGGGATTGAACTCAGGCCCTTGAGCTTGCCAGGCAAGTGCTTATTCTACTGAACTATCTCCCCGGCCACCAGGATGTGAAAGATTACTTTTATATAAAGGATCTGGTAAAGATTCCCAAACATTATGTAACTGCTTCAACATGGAGCCTGACATTTGCTTGATGTTTGTCAGTTTGATTTTTTTTTTTTTTTACTGAGAAAAAAGTATATATTTAGAATTAGCCAGCTGGACTCAGTTTAGATGATCCCAATTTTGTTGGCAACATCCAATGCATCATAATCAGGAACCAGTCGAACATATGCCTTCTGATTAGGGTATTGACCTTGGCAACATCAATGTCATAAAGCTTCTTTACAGCCTGTTTG